CAAGAGGGGACAGAGGAAAACAACGCATAACCAACCTAGAGAGATTGAGTAAATGGATGGCGGAACAAGGTTTAGGAGATTGAAGGCAAGAGGGGCAGAGGAAAACAACGCATAACCAACCTAGAGAGATTGAGTAAATGGATGGCGAAACAAGGTTTAGGAGATTGAAGGCAAGAGGGACAGAGAAAACAACGCACAACCAACCTAGAGAGATTGAGTAAATGGATGGCGGAACAAGGTTTAGGAGATTGAAGGCAAGAGGGACAGAGGAAAACAACGCATAACCTACCTAGAGAGATTGAGTAAATGGATGGCGGAACAAGGTTTAGGAGATTGAAGGCAAGAGGGCAGAGGAAAACAACGCATAACCAACCGAGAGAGATTGAGTAAATGGATGGCGGAACAAGGTTTAGGAGATTGAAGGCAAGAGGGACAGAGGAAAACAACGCATAACCTACCTAGAGAGATTGAGTAAATGGATAGCGGAACAAGGTTTAGGGAGATTGAAGGCAAGAGGGACAGAGGAAAACAACGCATAACCTACCTAGAGAGATTGAGTAAATGGATGACAGAACAAGGTTTAGGAGATTGAAGGCAAGAGGGACAGAGGAAAACAATAACCTTTTAACCTAATGGATAGAGTGATTGAGCAAATGGATGGTGGAAAAAGGTTTAGGAGATTGAAGATTAAGAGGGACAGATGAAAACAATGCATAACCTACCTAGAGAGATTGAGTAAATGGATGGCGGAAAAAGGTTTAGGAGATTGAAGGCAAGAGGGACAGAGGAAAACAACGCATAACCTACCTAGAGAGATTGAGTAAATGGATGGCGGAACAAGGTTTAGGAGATTGAGGCAAGAGGGACAGAGGAAAACAATGCATAACCAACCTAGAGAGATTGAGTAAATGGATGGCGGAACAAGGTTTAGGAGATTGAAGGTAAGAGGGACAGAGGAAAACAACGCATAACCTACCTAGAGAGATTGAGTAAATGGATGGCGGAACAAGGTTTAGGAGATTGAAGATAAGAGGGGAGAGGAAAACAACGCATAACCAACCTAGAGAGATTGAGTAAATGGATGGCGGAACAAGGTTTAGGAGATTGAAGGCAAGAGGGACAGAGGAAAACAACGCATAACCAACCTAGAGAGATTGAGTAAATGGATGGCGGAACAAGGTTTAGGAGATTGAAGGCAAGAGGGACAGAGGAAAACAACGCATAATAACCAACCTAGAGAGATTGGAGGTTTAGGAAATGGAGAGGACAGCGGAAAACAAGGTTTAAGAGAGAGATTGAGTAAAATGGATGGCGGAACAAGGGGAGAGAAGGAAAACAACAGAGGAAAACAAATAACCAACCTAGAGAGATTGAGTAAATGGATGGCGGAACAAGGTTTAGGAGATTGAAGGCAAGAGGGCAGAGGAAAACAACGCATAACCAACCTAGAGAGATTGAGTAAATGGATGGCGGAACAAGGTTTAGGAGATTGAAGGCAAGAGGGGCAGAGGAAAACAACGCATAACCAACCTAGAGAGATTGAGTAAATGGATGGCGGAACAAGGTTGAGGGAGATTGAAGGCAAAGAGGGACAGAGGGAAAACAACGCATAACCAACCTAGAGAGATTGAGTAAATGGATGGCGGAACAAGGTTTAGGAGATTGAAGGCAAGAGGGAAAGAGGAAAAACAACGCATAACCTACCTAGAGAGAGATTGAGTAAATGGATGGCGGAACAAGGTTTAGGAGATTGAAGGCAAGAGGGGCAGAGGAAAACAACGCATAACCTACCTAGAGAGATTGAGTAAATGGATGGCGGAACAAGGTTTAGGAGTTTGATGCAAGAGGGGCAGAGGAAAACAACGCATAACCTACCTAGAGAGATTGAGTAAATGGATGGCGGAACAAGGTTTAGGAGTTTGATGCAAGAGGGGCAGAGGAAAACAACGCATAACCTACCGAGGGAGATTGAGTAAATGGATGGCGGAACAAGTTTTAGGAGATTGAAGGCAAGAGGGACAGAGGAAAACAACGCATAACCTACCGAGGGAGATTGAGTAAATGGATGGCGGAACAAGGTTTAGGAGATTGAAGGCAAGAGGGACAGAGGAAAACAACGCATAACCTACCTAGAGAGATTGAGTAAATGGATGGCGGAACAAGGTTTAGGAGATTGAAGGCAAGAGGGACAGAGGAAAACAACGCATAACCTACCGAGGGAGATTGAGTAAATGGATGGCGGAACAAGGTTTAGGAGATTGAAGGAAAGATGGACAGAGGAAAACAACACATAACCTACCTAGAGAGATTGAGTAAATGGATGGCGGAACAAGGTTTAGGAGATTGAAGGCAAGAGGGAAAGAGGAAAACAACGCATAACCTACCGAGGGAGATTGAGTAAATGGATGGCGGAACAAGGTTTAGGAGATTGAAGGCAAGAGGGACAGAGGAAAACAACGCATAACCTACCTAGAGAGATTGAGTAAATGGATGACGGAACAAGGTTTAGGAGATTGAAGGCAAGAGGGACAGAGGAAAACAACGCATAACCTACCTAGAGAGATTGAGTAAATGGATGGCGGAACAAGGTTTAGGAGATTGAAGGCAAAGGGACAGAGAAAACAATGCATAACCTACCTAGAGAGATTGAGTAAATGGATGGCGGAAAAAGGTTTAGGAGATTGAAGGCAAGAGGACAGAGGAAAACAACGCATAACCTACCTAGAGAGATTGAGTAAATGGATGGCGGAACAAGGTTTAAGAGATTGAAGGCAAAGGGACAGAGGAAAACAACGCATAACCAACCTAGAGAGATTGAGTAAATGGATGGCGGAAAAAGGTTTAGGAGATTGAAGGCAAGAGGGACAGAGGAAAACAACGCATAACCTATCTCGAGAGATTGAGTAAATGGATGGCGGAACAAGGTTTAGGAGATTGAAGATAAGAGGGACAGAGGAAAACAACGCATAACCTACCTAGAGATATTGAGTAAATGTATGGCGGAACAAGGTTTAGGAGATTGAAGGCAAGAGGGACAGAGGAAAACAACGCATAACCAACCTAGAGAGATTGAGTAAATAGATGGCGGAACAAGGTTTAGGAGATTGAAGGCAAGAGGGGCAGAGGAAAACAACGCATAACCAACCTAGAGAGATTGAGTAAATGGATGGCGGAACAAGGTTTAAGAGATTGAGGGCAAGAGGGACAGAGGAAAACAACGCATAACCAACCTAGAGAGATTGAGTAAATGGATGGCGGAACAAGGTTTAGGAGATTGTAGGCAAGAGGGACAGAGGAAAACAACGCATAACCTATCCTCGAGAGATTGAGTAAATGGATGGCGGAACAAGGTTTAGGAGATTGAAGATAAGAGGGACAGAGGAAAACAACGCATAACCTACCTAGAGATATTGAGTAAATGTATGGCGGAACAAGGTTTAGGAGATTGAAGGCAAGAGGGACAGAGGAAAACAACGCATAACCAACCTAGAGAGATTGAGTAAATGGATGGCGGAACAAGGTTTAGGGAGATTGAAGGCAAAGAGGGCAGAAGAGATTGAAAACAACGCATAACCAACCTAGAGAGATTGAGTAAATGGATGGCGGAACAAGGTTTAAGAGATTGAAGGCAAAGGGGCAGAGGAAAACAACGCATAACCAACCTAGAGAGATTGAGTAAATGGATGGCGGAACAAGGTTTAGGAGATTGAAGGCAAGAGGGGCAGAGGAAAACAACGCATAACCAACCTAGAGAGATTGAGTAAATGGATGGCGGAACAAGGTTTAGGAGATTGAAGGCAAGAGGGACAGAGGAAAACAACGCATAACCAACCTAGAGAGATTGAGTAAATGGATGGCGGAACAAGGTTGAGGAGATTGAAGGCAAGAGGGACAGAGGAAAACAACGCATAACCAACCTAGAGAGATTGAGTAAATGGATGGCGGAACAAGGTTTAGGAGATTGAAGGCAAGAGGGAAAGAGGAAAACAACGCATAACCTACCTAGAGAGATTGAGTAAATGGATGGCGGAACAAGGTTTAGGAGATTGAAGGCAAGAGGGCAGAGGAAAACAACGCATAACCTACCGAGGGAGATTGAGTAAATGGATGGCGGAACAAGTTTTAGGAGATTGAAGGCAAGAGGGGCAGAGGAAAACAACGCATAACCTACCTAGAGAGACTGAGTAAATGGATGGCGGAACAAGGTTTAGGAGATTGAAGGCAAGAGGGACAGAGGAAAACAACGCTTAACCTACCTAGAGAGATTGAGTTAATGGATGGCGGATCAAGGTTTAGGAGATTGAATGTAATAGGGACAGATGAAAACAATGCATAACCTACCTAGAGAGATTGAGTAAATGTATGGCGGAAAAAGGTTTAGGAGATTGAAGGCAAGAGGGACAGAGGAAAACAACGCATAACCTACTTAGAAAGATTGAGTAAATGAATGGTGGAACAAGGTTTAGGAGATTGAAGGCAAGAGGGACAGATGAAAACAACGCATAACCTACCTAGGGAGATTGAGTAAATGGATGGCGGAAAAAGGTTTAGGAGATTGAAGGCAAGAGGGACAGAGGAAAACGACGCATAACCTACCTAGAGAGATTGAGTAAATGGATGGCGGGACAAGGTTTAGGAGATTGAAAACAAGAGGGACAGAAGAAAACAACGCAAAACCTACCTAGAGAGATTGAGTAAATGGATGGCGGAACAAGGTTTTGGAGATTGAAGGCAAGAGGGACAGAGGAAAACAACGCATAACCTACCTAGAGAGATTGAGTAAATGAATGGCGGAACAAGGTTTAGGAGATTGAAGGCAAGAGGGACAGTGGAAAACGGCACATATTCTAACTAGAACGGTTTGGATATATGAATGGCCAAACAACTTTTAGTGGAGATCGCAAAAAGATAAAAAAAAATTGTGAGCTTTAAAGAAGGCGATATTGTGGTCAGCCATGATCACCAACTGACGGATCTGAGTTTGAGTTTTCCATCCCTAA